ACAGAACAAGGAAGTAATGAGTCCAAATCATAAACCCAATTCAGTAAAAACATAACACAGACAGCAATGAAAATGCCAATTAGTAAATAGTTGTCTAAGCGAAGGAAAACAACAGATTCTTCTAAACCTTTATATCGCTACTAATTTAGCGTGAACAATGTWGCCAACTTTAGCTGCTTTGTTGCCAGATTTAGCAAGTTTTCAGACCTCTCTGATGACTTTTTTTTCTAGAAAGTGACTAGCGGCAAATCTAGGAACTTTTTATGATGTTATTGGAAACTTTGGTAATAGCGCTTTTCTCAGCGAGCAGCCAGTGTTGCTGTGAGCCCCTCCAACCTTTCCAAAGCCCTGACAAGTGGTCCGACTCACGGAAGCCCCGCGCAGCCGCCAGAGCTGCAGTCAGAGCAGAGAGGAGACCCCTTCAAATGAGCGAGGCATGCACAAAGCAGCTGCTGCTCCCATCCTAGCTTACAAAGCAAGATGTTGTTTTTATTCTGTTTTTCACTGACACTGTCTCAGTTAAGGTAAAGGTAAGGTAAAGGTGCTTTATTTGTCATCAGTGTATGTTTCCACACAATGACGAAATTGTGCTCTGCATTAAACCCATCCATACCCAAGTGGAGCAGCGGGCAGCCATGTGAGGCGCCCGGGGAGCAGTGAGGGTTAGGTGTCTTGCTCAAGGACACCACGACATGTGGGTATGGCGGGGAGTTGAACCTAAGACTTTCAGGTCCCAAGCCGGCTGCTCTACCACTACACCACAGCCGCCCCCAAATAAAATAATCCCATGATATTTCATTTCTTTTTTGTGTGCCCAAAGCTACTGTTGTTGTAGTTAAATTTTATATTCTCATTAATTTCTTTTATTGAGTCTATTTGCAGTTCTAAATGTATTTAGTGTTTTTTTACTCACTTTCCTACAGCCTAGATCACAACTGGCAAATGTCTAAATACGCAGATTAGTTGATGACATCATTTGATGACTTTTAGCGGTGTAAATGTAATATTTTTATGTGCTTAAAAACCCTAACACACAAAACTAATTTAAAGAACCGACTGGGCCATAAATGTTATCTACTGTCTCACGTCAACAAAGCTGCCCTTACATAATCTGCAAAGACAGCATTAACAAACCAACTATGATGTGTAATTTATGGTCCATCAAAGCAGAAATCACTTTTATCTCACAAACTGCTTTTCAGTACAAGGCATTGGAAGATTGCAAAGATAAAAATAAACATTGGCAAATGTTAGGCCAGTATTTCTGCTTTTAGTGTCAAACGCAATGCAAACTCCTTTGAGTGTGTTTTAATGTGCTCAAACTAATCAGAAACTTGAGTTTTAGTCAGAACTAATGCATCGTGCTTTGTTGGCTTTTAGTAAAAGTTTGGCCTTTCATGAACTGGTAAMGTTGTGGTTTCAGCTGTTTCAGAAATCATTTAATTTCTTTCATCTCTCCTAATGACGCAGCCAACTCCTTATAGAATAATCTGCTGAAAGGATCTGAAAGTACACACTGAGAGATGGACACACACACACACACACACATACTTATATTTCTATCCTTATCAGGACCGTTTATTGACTTTCATTCACTTCTATGGCCTAAACAGATTCTTACCCTAAACACAATCACCCCCAATACAAAACTAACCCTAATCCCTCCAGTTCCAACCTTAGAACCGTGACAATAAAATATTTCAGATTCAGAGTGATTCAAGCAGAGAAAAAGACAAAAAAAGGAGGTCTTACCAACCCGAGTCACAATGGACAATGAAGCTGCTGCTCTCAGATTAACAAGATGACCCCACCTTTAGATAAAAAGTGGATATTTTACAAGAGGTGGTAAGATGAAAAAACACACCTGACTGTGTACTCCAAATGAAGTAGATGTGATTAATGAGCAGTCTGCTGCTGCTCCCACTGTCACAGTCTCTTTTCTGTGYATCTCTGCCCTGCTGTCATTCCTCCAGCCCAGCCCAAGCTCACCTGTTTCCTCTTGTGTCTCCTTCAGGTGTTTCTTGTTGTCTGATTAAGTTCTGCCTTTATATTCAGTTGTTTTTTTCCTCTGTGCCTTGTCCGATCATTGTGCTGTTAGCAGCCAGTGTGGTTGTCTTCTGTGTTCCTCATACCTGTTCCTCCTGAGAAGAGTTTGTGAGTTTTCTTGCTGCCTCGACAGCCCTCCTCAGTTTATTAAAGCTTTTTGCTTTTTGAATTTTGCTGGCGCCTTCTGCACAACTTTACACCCATATGTTCTGTTTTTTTATTTTTTTATTTTTTTGCATTGTTTGGTATTTAAAGCTGTTCACTTAAAAAAATCAATATCTATATTTTTGTTGTTACTTAGTTTCACATCTGACTGTAAAGCCATTTCACTTGTGGTTTAGCAAGTTCTGGATGGATCCATCCGGACCTACTTGTTTTTTTAATTTTTGATTTTTCTCTACCTGGATTACTGAGGTGCATCAGGACTTATAGTGCATCCTTTTGCTTGGTTGAGTGTAATCAATAAGCCACTGTGAGCTTTTTCCAACTGCAGCAATAGTTGGGCAAATGCTGTTTCAGCTCAGGAGCTGCATCCTCTGTAGGGCTGTGGTGGAGTGGTTAGGGGAGTCRTCCTGTAACCAKTAGGTTGCCAGTTCGATCCCCCATTCCAGCTGTCTCAGTCGTCGTGTCCTTGRGCAAGACTCTTCAGAGGGTCTGGTGGTGCCGATTGCATGGCAGCCCCGCCTCTGTCAGTGTGCCCCAGGGCAGCTGTGGCTGTAGCTTACCACCATCAGTGTGTGRATGGGTGAAGTGTTAAGCGGTTGATGGACATGATAAGCACATATGGACTTGATAAGGCTCTATATAAATTCAAGCCATTTGTAGGCCAGTTACTGTACGTCACTGCACTACACTGAAGGCCGTCCCATTCCGTAGGCTCCTTCTCGTGCAACCGACAAATGCAGCAATGAAAACAAGGGATGCGTCTGACTATCCTTTGCAGCAGACGATATCATAGGATTCATTGCATTGTCAGCAAACTACAGGRAAAAAGGAAGTGGCGTAGTTTGGAAAGTCATCACGGACTAAAGAATTTGTTTTATATTATGAAATTTATACTGTATTGTGATGTTAAATAACATTTAATTACAAGTACTGATACATGAGCTACATTTTATTTATTTATTTATTTATTTATTTAACTTTACAAATTTTACAGGCTTATGTACACGCACAATACACATTTTGTGCCACTGCAATACAATAAATCTGAAAAGTGAAATTAAAACAGAATACAATATRAGAAAAACCTAAATAGCAAATGAAGCTATATTAAAAGAAAGCTTYACAATAGTATTATAAAGCCATAGTACTAATACTGGAGCTAAACCCAAATTATTAAAGTCTTTTGATGTGATGGACTTGCGACCTGTCCAGTGCGTACTCTGCCTCTTCCACAGTGACTGCTGAAAGTGGGCACCTGTGACCCTGAAAGGAAGAAGTGGATAAAAGATAATGACTGCATTTTAAAAAAATACATTTAATTTTGGGAAGTTGTACCTCCTGTGAAAAGATGTGTGAATTCATGTTCCAATGTCTTTTCAAGTTTTAGGAATTTATGGCTGATGTGATATCCAGTAAAACACAACATTACAGTAACAGAGTAATGCGTGGTCACACAAACATACCTCATCCAAAGACTAGAATGCCTACCTGGACTTCAAAAGGCRTAGCCTCCATTACATGGGTCGTGGTCTATGTGGGCTGCAACCCTTGAATTGCCTATATGCCACGGACATTCGGCCCAGCACTGGATGCYACTCCCAACACTTCCGGTTCACKGTCAACACAGTGTTAGCAAAAGATTTTTTTCACCCGACAACGACTCTTAATGATCTCCACAGTACAGAATTAACAAATTATATGTACCAACATAAACACAGGAGACATACAGGTCCAGCTAAGTGGAAAAAAAATCACTCCAAAGTGGATTAAAGCCATAAAAACACAGGAAAGACWTTCGTGTTTATGGTTCCAGAATTTAGCCTTTTTCCGCCATTCTTTGGCTGCTTGTTCTGTCAGTTTTTCACGTAGAGCTGTGACACTTATTGTTGGAAAAAGCAGAGTCTGGGCTTTAAATTTATGGGCTACTTGTATGGTTTGGATCATTTTCCCCGACGTTAGTGAACTGAAAATGTAATCATTATCAGGCAGAGGTTCTGCTGCTCTCGGTGCTCGGGGGGAGGAGGGGGGGGGGCGCTCATCACTCGGCTTTAGTCTACACTGTAATATACACTCTAACAAGGTTTTACTTTTGCATAAAACTCATGACAAAGTCGCATAAAAACATTTCATATAACACAAACGCGCGTGCGCACATACACCTACCTTTGTACCGGCTGCTGTGTTAGCTTCCTGCTAGCTGTCGTGTGGAGGTGGTCTTTCCTCTCTCGTCTTGGCAGTAAAAGGGGATAAATGTACATTTCCCTTTTGTAACCYCCGTCTTCTCATTTCTGATGCTGGCTCTTGAATATCCTCAGGTTAGAAATGCTGATTACAAACGCAAGCGTGAACTTTTAAAGATAAGTTTTCCCTGTAATGCTATGATCCACTGCTGTCACCTCCTCATCAAGAGGAAAATGGATAAAAACTACTCAATCGTACCTGCTGCTTAGTGGACACAAAGGCACACAACAGAACTCACGTTTTATACCAGTAGCTCACAGATGCTTCAACTTTTGTGACTTTTTCACAGACTAGTACTAGCAGCTAACGCTAAAAACATAAAGTAAGCAGGGAGTGGAAGGGAGGAGAGTGGCAAGAATTATACTGGAAATACATCATCAATGACCGTGGCATATAGGCTATTGAGACACACCATGAGTGATCCAAGAGAAGCAGTGTACCATCTGACACTGTTCAACCTTTGTTCTACTGAATTTACCTAAGAAGGGATGAGTAGAAAAAGAAGCTCTACATCTTTAAATCATCTGTTACCTCTCTTGTTTCCTCAGGCAACATCTTTGTGGTGAGCTTGTCTGTGGCAGACCTGGTGGTGGCGCTGTACCCGTACCCTCTGGTGCTAAYGGCCATCTTCCACAATGACTGGACCATGGGGGACCTGCACTGTCAGGCCAGCGGCTTCATCATGGGCCTCAGCGTCATCGGCTCCATATTCAACATCACAGCCATCGCCATCAACCGCTACTGCTACATCTGCCACAGCCTCCACTACGACCGCCTGTACAGCCTGAGGAACACCTGCTGCTACCTGGGCCTCACCTGGGTGCTCACAGCCATCGCCACAGTGCCCAACTTCTTTGTTGGCTCTCTCCAGTATGACCCCCGCATCTACTCCTGCACCTTCGCCCAGACGGTCAGCTCGTACTATACCATATCAGTGGTGGTTATTCACTTCCTGATTCCATTGCTGGTCGTATCCTACTGCTACATGAGGATATGGGTACTTGTGATTCAAGTGAAGCATCGGGTTAAGCCCGATCAAAGGACTAGGCTGAAACCTAGTGATGTCAGGAACTTCTTGACTATGTTTATGGTGTTTGTGTTGTTTGCTGTGTGCTGGGCTCCATTGAACCTCATAGGCCTGGCTGTAGCTATAAACCCTGTAAAAGTTGCTCCAAAAATACCAGAGTGGCTCTTTGTCACAAGCTACTTCATGGCATACTTCAATAGCTGCCTCAATGCCATCATATATGGACTGCTAAACCAAAACTTTCGGAAGGAGTACAAGACTATCCTTCTTGCTCTGTGCATCCCACGTTTGCTGCTCATGGAAACTTCCAGGTGCGCCACAGAGGGACTAAAGACTAAGCCTTCGCCGGCCGTGACGAACAATAATGTAGCGGAGTTAAATGTACAAACTTGTGTGTAATCGAGCTTGTGGATGTGCCACGATTCACCCAGTGCCTTTTCACAATGTGCATCATTTTCCTGTTGAAATGATACCTTGATCTGCGTACCAAATTAAAACTTGTGGTTGGGGTTGCTCCGGTGTCCTAACGCTGTGCTCCATTTACTTCAAAAGTCAGATTTCAGATTTGATTATGTCATCACACCCAAACYAACAGTGTTCCATTTGCAAGTTGTAAAATCTTGCAACATGAAGTTTAAGGCTGATGAAGTCAGAATTCTAACTTTACTGGGTGCTCTAGAGTTGATTTTTCTGGCCTTACACATGGAAATTCTGACTTTTGAGTATAAATAGAGCTCATTATACATCTCGAAAGTATAATTTTCATCTTTTTGAAGTTGTGGGTGTTTTGTGGAGGTGTCAGTGATCAAAATATTGTAGTAAAAGTATTATTAAGTGTTATCAAAGTACAGTATTATCAGTTTGGACTATCAGGCAGACGCTCTCTCAGGGTAGACAAGCTTATGACCAGTCTGAGTCAGGTTCAGTTCCAAAGCAGATTTCTATTTTTCTTAAAGCTCCTTTCTCAGAAATGTCATAATGCTTTGGTTATTTACAGAAGATTGKGTCATTTGTTGTCTTTTACAAGTAAAGGTTCATGTGAAACTTTTATTGGAGAATGGGACATTTAAGTATAACCTGGTAGAAAAACAATCTGATGAAAAAGTTAAATAATAAACTAGGCAAACCCTGTTTTATTGATATTTACACTGCCGTATCGACTGTCAGCTTGTTTCTTAGCCTTTTCACACATCTTCACAGTTTCACATGAACCTTAATTGATTGTGGACTGCAGATAACCTGGTCTTTATGTGTAAAAACACCTTAAATCTATATAAATACATATGTAATGGGTTATAAAACAGTGTTCATGTGAACCATTAGAGGTGTGATGTTCATGAAGGAAATGAACAAYGGGATTCAGACTGTGCAGATATATATATTTTTCCTCCCTAGATGCAGACACACAYGTTCCTTTTCCACTGAGACAAACAAGAACAGGCAACATGCTTAGGAGGGAAGCGGGGTTACAAACTTGACAAGTCACGTGGTCGGGCCGTAGGTTGTTAGTCATGGCTTTTTTTAAATGAATGTTAGCACAACCTCCGGTTCTCTTCAAAGCGCTGTAGGACCCGGCATACTGGATCTGAAGCTGAACRGCCAACTCGGTCCTATAGTTTGCCAGGCGTTCATTTTCGTGCACACCCTCTATAGTCCAACAAGATACACAGCACAGTTTTCTACGTTCCGATATCTTTAAAAGTGCCTGGAAGAGTCAAATAGATGGAAGCACTTTCTGATTGCCTCGGACTACTGCTCCTCCGAACTATTTATGTTTGGATGCAGAACAACCGGCTTCTAGAAGAGGACTAGTTGAAGCAAAATGCCACCATTGTTGTCAGAGTTTCTGTCTGCATAAACACACCCACAAAAACTCTGACCAATCAAACAGTACCAGGCACCTGTGAGAAAAAAATTGGTCCAAGCGTTGTGTTGAGAAGTAGCGGGCGAAGCTGCTCTGTGAATAAAATGATGCAATTTTTATCACGCAACTGTGCTATTGAAAGGCGWTTTCACAGCTTCAGATAGAGTATGTAGGAGCATTAAATCCCATGTTTTTTAAACCGATATGACATTTTTGATATTGGACTTGTTTTAAAGAAATCTAGTTTGTAACTGAAACTGCCTTGTTAGGTAACTAAAAATGATCTGAGCAGCCTTTATTACCTGATTACTGATAAAGACAAGGCAAAACATCGCTTAAAAAAAAATCCAACCCGTCTCTTTAAAAACCTGGCGCTATAGGACTCTGAACCGACATGATGCCTTCAAACGGATTTCCTGAGCCCCTAATTTGGACAAGTCATGCAGACAACCTGCGAAGTGGAAGTTGACAGGAAATAAGCAGTGAGCAGTCGACGCCACAAAGGAAGACGGCTCCTCTCGTGAACACGGAGAACATGATCTGAGGGCACCGGTAAATGTGAACAAGTCCGACGCTGCGCCCGCGTCACGTCATTGTGTTTAGCTGGCTGCCTCTCTGCACTGCATTCAGGTGAAAATTGATGAGCAGAGGGAAAAATTTAAAAAAATGGGAGGATGAATGGAAGGTTTTTTAACACACCACAAATGGGAAGACTGGGTAAAGTGAGTTTTCAACCACATCCCTGCTTGTGTGTTTATCTTGACTAACTGGCTGTGTTGTACAGATCGATCACATCGTCAACATAGTGCAAATAATGTATTTTCTGTTGCTCTTTGTTTGATTTCTTTGCACTCATAAATGTAGCATTAATGACGAAAAAGCCTCCAGGTTTGGTGTTTTCCTTTCAGACAGTCCTCTCAGCTTTAAAGCTCAATCTGTTGCCAAGAACTTAATGGGATTATTTAGATTAAGTGGCTTTAGAAAATTAAGAGTAGGTGAAGTGCCAATTTGAAAACCCCATTTTATATTCAGTAAAAAGCTCTAGTTAAGTCAAACTCTTATTTTTTTGTATCCTCTGTGAGTGTTAATATCTCTGACACAGTTGCACGGTGAATGTAATGAAGCCTGTTAATTGAAGCTCTCCGGCTTCTCTTTGTGGTTGTCCCACTCCGCTCAGATTTTACATTTGTGCAACCCACATCTCAAAAATGTTCCTTACAAATGTGGCACAGTTTGAAAGAGAAATTAACAGGTGTTAATCACCAAGAAGCATTGTCACGACAAAGAAATAATCTACCAAACACAAAACCCATTACTTTTTGTACAAATTTTAGTTTGTTTACTGATTTTAGTTACATCATCATGCATGTCGTCATTGGAATAAAAGAAATTTAAACTGCTGGACGTCCCTGCCCAAAATGGCTTGAGTGATTAAAGAACAGGAACTGTCAAAAGAGAGAGAAACAKTGGATAAACAAAGCTAGGTCTCTTGTTTATTAAATGCCTGGGAGACATGATATGCATCAGGAGCCAGAGGGGTGTAATTTTGTGATAATGCAAGTGTGCCTGAGCGCATGTCACCCTGCCCGAGACGAGCTCTGACAGCCTCCCGGCGTAGATTCCTCCCTGCGAAAAACAAACTCTGAGCAGTTCACCTCACAGGGAGGCTCCGAGATGTTGACGTGACACATTCTTGACACGACGCACTGCTGCTGGAATATTAAAGAGATTACATGTTCCAAATGCCTTATTCGGGAGGTAAAGAGATCCCCAACTRTACACCATTTCACTTTTAATTTGACATCCTGATTTGTTTGCATTCTGCTGTGCTCTGCCAGAGCTCAGCCTGAACGGGCCGTCAGGACGTTGGACTCCAGTACTGTCAAGTTCCAGAGCTGCAAAACAACACAAAACTGTTTCACTTCTGCTTCTGACAAASCGGTGTCTCCGGTGTGCAGCAGGAGAAAGCAGCCCACATGCCGGCGAGATGTCAGCTGCAGGTGAGTGGCTAAAGCAGCTCGGGGGGGTGACAGAGTCAGCTTCACCTCACAAACGCATCATTCCTCTTCCCTTTCATCTCACCTTCCACTCTTCTCTCTTTATTTCTTGCTTTTTTATCCCAGCGTTGCTTCTTTTTTTATTTATCTCCCCTGTCTCCTGAGGCATCTTTACCTTCTTGCAGAGAGTTTCATGAGAAAACTGTTAAATCATTCAAGCATAACGCTACGGCTATATCTATCAAAAGGCAGAAGGAAGGAGAAGTTGTGAAATTTTAACSTGTTTAATTTGTTCAAGACAGCACATCGCCAGCAACTGAACTGACAAATTTAGCAATCAGCTAATAAATGTTTTATCCTACGTTCACATAATGCAGCCCAGGGGGTCACAAGCAACACCTCCACTGTCTCCATTAGGCCCTTTAAGTCTTCCCATAAAAAACACAATGAAAATCAGCACCTAATGAATTTTATTGAGTGGAAAATGATGTCTAAACTGAGAATCTTTTTTGTGCAAAAACCTGTCGGACTGAAGTTTTTCCATTTGCTAAGTTAGTAAATTTGTGCTGGCAAGAACGTGGACAAATTTTATCCCCCTAAAATGTGAAAATTTGTCTTTACTACTTTAGGATATTTTCATTTCAATGAATACAGTTATTGTTTGTTGGTTTGTTTGTTTATATGTTTTTGTTTTCATTCTTATATTACATTAAAAACATTAGTTCTAATAGTACCACTATGTGGCGAGAACTCCCACATTAACAATATATGAAAACACAGAGAAAAGATATGCTTAGCATGGCTGAACTTTGTTTTTCACTAAAGTGATTCTTTTCTTTGATACCGTTTGCATTTTTATTTAAGTCACAAGAGTGTTGTTTTTCTTTCTCTTGACCATTTGAAAGTATTTTTCAAAGTTGTACTAAAAATAAAAAATAAAATAAAACTTTGCATGTCTATCAGAAATATAAAGAGCGGTGCTAGTTTTGAACTCAGTTTGGGGCACAAACAAGACGTTAGTCCTAAACACTGCAAAACTGATTTTCTGAACAAAACAGTAAGCTTCTAAAACAACCTTCTCAAAACCCCAACTTTAACAATTTTAACTAATTATGGAATAAAATTAAAAACCACTGAGTAACTAAGCAGGTTAAATCAACTCACAAACTGTGATAAAATGTCCATCCAGAAATATTTGTTTGTTTTCTGTCTGTTTTATGTTAATTTTCCTTGTGAATTCTAGTTATTAGTTTGTTAGATTATCCCCTGTGTTCTCTCAGACAATTCTCTTTGTCCCTCAGTTATTTTTCTCTGTGAGTTTTCCAGTCATGTTTGCCACCCTCACCTTTCTATAATGTGTAATCTGCCTCCTGCTCTGGTGCTGTCCTTCATGACTCCTCCCTTGGTGTATTTAATCAGTCTCTTGTCACCAATCTCTTGTCCATTCATCAAAACAATTATGGAGCCTATTTGTAGTTAATCCTATAATTAACTGTCATCATTATATTGTCTTATCTTTCTACATGTTAAGTGTTCTGTTACCACTTTGCTTGCTGGTATAAATGAGCACCATTAGCTGATTTTAGCTCCTCCCTGTGGCACCTGAGTCCTGACTTGAAGTGTTTGTGAAAGTTACTTAAAAAGGCAGCCTT